AATGGTGAGTCTCAAAAGCAATCATTATATTATCTATAATAGATCTACCCATGATAAAGGCACTTTGATTGTTGGAAATCAATAAATTTATGCACCCCTTTAACCGGTTAGCCATTAGTTTAGCAAAAAATTGATAAACAACAGAGCATAAAGCAATAAGACTCCAATCCTCATATTATTTGGATTATCCTTCTTAGGAATAAGAACCAGATTAATGAGGTTAGCCTCCTTTGGGATTCTCCCCTCCTCAAAAAAATGTTGACTGTTTTTAAGCACATCCATTCCTACCCTATCCGAGTAATGTTGAAAAAATTAGGATTGAGCCCATTCGGAACCAGTGCTTTATCTGGATGCATAGCGAAGACCGCTTTTTTTACCTTTTTTTTTACCCCAGAAGGCAAACCACCAAAATCAGTGGGGCAAATGCCGGGATTCATTTGCCATTATTTTATCGATAAATGAGGCCCTACATGGTGATTGGCCGAAGAAGTAACTGATTGTGAGTTTTGGAGACCTTGGTTACTCCCTGTAGCACCTTCATTCATGATTTAGTTCCAATAAATTTGAATAGCTTCTTAATGTAGTCCTCAACCATCCCTTTGACTTGTCCCCTATCCGTAATCCAAAGTCCATCAGACGTTCTTAGCCCTATCATTTTATTCCTTCGTCTTCTTTGTTTCACAGAGTTATGGAAGAATTTGGGATTTACTTCCCCATTCTTCAGCCAAAACTCTTTTGTCCTTTGTTTCCAAAACATGCTATTTTGATTTAATAGTTCCAACAATTCTGATTTAACCCTCTGAAACTCAGCAATACTTCTCTCATCTTCTTGCTTCTCAAGTAGGCAATTCTTCTTCTAAATCTTTCGATTTGACCTTGGAAGCCCATTTTTCTTTTCGTGCTCCAGCATTGCGGTTCATCACTACATTCTTATATCCTGTGCACATATGTTCTCAAATTTGAAGGTTTTCCTAAAAACTCTTGAATAATCAAAACGCATATACCACATCATATGGTCGCTTGATGGACCTTCCACGGAGACGGCTGAGACATCTTTGAATAATCCGAGCCACCCATCATGTGCATTTATACGGTCTAACTTCTCTTCTATCCACGACGGTGTCCCTCTACCCCTTAATTTCCCACGTCCATCGATACCCCTTCAGTTGCACGTTATTCGAAACCAGTTTGGTTGAGGTGTTCGACCTCTACGTTCGTTTGCAACAATGATGTCGTCGTTGAAGTCACCCATCATAAGTTATGGTGAATCTGTTTGTCTTGATAGATTTCAAATTAAATTCCATGACTCCCTCCTTCGACTTCGACTTCGGATCCGGATCACCTTGCACTAGTTGAACCAATTAAAAACCGATGTAGTTCATCCCGGATGAAGTTACTTGCAATTGGACCTCCTCACGCCATAGTAAGCTCTGGAACCCTCATTACCCTCGTAGTAGTTTGCATCTTCTCCTCTGGGCCTTGGTTTCCGTCAAGAACAGAAGTTTTAGTTTCTTCTCGCGTACGGCGTACTAAGTCTGCCAAAACTTGTACGGTTGTCAGATTCTCTATATATATCCCCCTCCAATTCCAACTAACAATGCTCATAATCGATGGATTACACCGGCGTTCACTGATTTGGTTCCACCGCTTCTTATCGATGGTCATGGGTACATATCAGAATTTAGAAACGCCCAAAAAAAACCAAACCTATAACGCTGAGTGCTAGGACCAGTCCGCTTTTAAGAGAAATAACTGAAAATGACATTGTTATTAAGATAAATTGAATAAGGGTATATTTTGAGATGTACGTAATTTTTTTATAAAGAGATGTACGTCATTTTGACAAGTATAATGAGTTGATAATTGTGATATTAAAGTTGTATTAATATTTGACTAGCTAGTAGAATAGAAATAAAAAATCATTATTTGGGACATACAAAAGAACCGAGTGAGAAATTTAAACTGGAACGAAGGGAATGCATGTTCCTTCCATTAAATTTTACAAGTTTATTATTCATGTCAATGCAATTTTTTCTCTTATTTTAAGTATTAATATGGTTCACGTCCAAATTTAGTTTTCTATGTGTGTACATTTGAATTATTAATAGCAACATAGACCATGCTAATTTAATATCTTTATTTGGGATATAATTTTACTGAGTCAAACTACTGTAAATGGTAGACTTTTTAAAATGGAGTATTAATAATTAAAGTATATTTTGTTTAGTAGGATCTCCAATAAAATATACAAGTATATAATATCTCGTTACATCTAAAATTTGTCAACATTCACTTGTGCTTGTTTAAAAAAATTGTCCATTTCTTTTAAAGTACTACCTTTGTTGGTTGAAAAGTAAAATTGTGTTTGAGAGTTGAGTAGAATAAAGTGAAATAATATGGACCATATATTTCTTGTCAAAATAGGAAACATGACATTCATTTTGAGACAATCTAAAAAGAAAAGTATTACAACCAAAATAAGATGGAGTGAGTAATTAATTTAGGGAAAGTTCCCAAAATATGACTAAAACAGTTTGAAAATTCCAAAATAGGACTGACATGTTTTTTATTCCCAAAATAGGAGTAATTACTGCCAAGTTTGGAAAATAATGTCATGTTCGAAGTCTGGTACTGCCAAAACATGACAGTAATTAGTCCATTTTGGGAATAAAAAACATGGCAGTCCTATTTTCGGAATTTTCAAACCTTTTTAGTCCCATTTCGGGTAATATCTCATTAATTTATAATTCTAATTATTTTTCTCATTTTTATATAAATCTCTAAATTACACTTTTTTTTTATTTTTTCCGCCGATCAAAAATGATAAAATTATAATAGAGGATGAATAGAGATTAGAGAGCAAACAAAGGGAGTATAAGACATATGGAGTGCGAAGTTTATTTTTGTAAAACGATGTTAGAGCATCTCCAATGCTACAATGTGCACGGTGCACATGTGGCATGAGAGATAGCCACATAAATATTAGCAAATGATTTTTTCTCTACAATGTCAACATCTAGTCGGTCTTTTTGACATTGTGGAGAAAAACTTACCAAAATTATAAAAAACTATTCAAATAAGGAGAGAGATAATTTATTTACTACTGTAATAATATTTATGTGGTTATCTATCATGCCACATGTGCACCATGCATATTGCACCATTGGAGATGCTCTAAATATAATCAAATAGTTTTGCTAGAAATAACATTTTTCATAGTATGATCACTTTTTGCATGTAAATACGCAAATTATATCCTAGATCCAGGTGTAGTTGTACATCCGGTATTTTTGTAATATGTACCAACATTAAGTCTTTCATTCTGTGATTCTCTCATCCCTAACCTCTGAATTGTTGATCATCTTCCTCGCTCAGTCATCCGCATGACCGCATAGAATCACCGGAGCTGGTAGGGAGAGAAGACGAACCGGCGGAGTTGAACTCTGCAACTGCTCCGAGCTTTAATTAGATAACTCGATTTCCTCTGCTACGTCACACATTGGAGCTCTGGATAATTCGACTTCCTCTGCTACGTCACACATTGAGCTCCAAAATGCCTATTCTTCTGTTGCTAAAAGTATTTTCCGCAATTGTTGTGTTTTTCAGAGCCTGCAACGTAACTTTCTCATTTTCCCTTTTTAACTCACAACTTTAATGATTCAATTAATTGAATGTCCAACTTTATATATTAATATTGAGCACATTAGAAATGAGTTTTATTTTAAACTCAAATGAGTAAATTGCCTAGAAAAAATGAACATCACAAATGAGCTTTTGAATTTTTGGATACTCAATTTGTAAGTTATGTATGTTTATTTGGTGCCTCTGTTTTGCTCATTTTAAAATGTTATATCAATGCATATTTCAAATGTAACATATGACATTAGATTCACATAAGAGTTGATTATAGACACGAGATCAGAAATCATGATACTCAATCGCACGATTCTTATACTCAATAATAGAGGTTTGATGTTCACTTAAAATGTGTTGATGCTTAACGAACAAAACTTATAATTTTCATATCAATTCTCATTTGTTAAGTTGCATATGTTCATTTGTATAGGTGGGATGCTCATTAAAAGTTCATTAATGCTCATTTAACATAAATCGTGATTTCCATCGATCTCAATAGAGGAGTTTTGATGCTCAATGAAAATGTCGAGATGTTCAATAACAAACCTTACGATTTTCATATCAATGCGCATTTTGTAAGTTATATATGCCCATCTAGTAATGATGTTATGCTCATTTTTAAAATGTCATATCAATGCATATTTGTAAAGTACCATATTACATTAGATTCCCATATTAAAATTCATAGGAGTTGATTATAAATATAATTTAATAAATTTTTATAAAAGAAAAAATAAGAAAAAGAAATTCAATTAGAAAAATATGAACCAGAGATCGCGATGTTCATTGTTTGGTTTCTAATACTCAATAGAATAAATCCGATGCTGAGTAAACATACATTAATGCTCATTTAGCGGAAGCCAAAATTTTCACTTAAATTACAAAATTGTCACCAACTATATAACGGTGTCCACCGTACAATCGATTGAAATGCACCAAGCCCCCTCGTGATATAGAAATTCAGCGCATTAGCCCCCTGTGATTTGAAAAATGCGTCAAACCCCCTTATGTTTTAATTAATCATGCACAAAACCCCTTTTATGAATAAATTTAACTGTTTGGATATCACTTTTTCTAATATTCTGATTGAATATGCAAGTAAATATGTCAAAATCTCTAAATCAAACATAAATGTTAATCATTTTTCTTTTATTTGATAATTAAATTTGTTCATAGAAGGGATTTTGCGCATAATTAATTAAAACACAAGTGGGTTTGACGCATTTTTTAAATCACAAGGGGCTAATGCGTCAAATTTGCTTATTACATGGAGTTTGGTGCATTAAACCGGCATCATTCATCATTTAATCAAAAAGGCTACCAATGCAAGTACCACCAACTCCCACCCAGGCATCCATCCAGCTGCCTGATCATGTATATAAATATACAGATGCCCATCCATTAGCTAGGCCACAATATATATCACATCCCCCTATATATTTGTTTGTATACATATTTAAGTGCCTGGTCCAAAAGCCGTGTGCATGGGAGCTTCTTGCATCGTATACTACGTATATACATGAGATTTTCAAGGTATGTTCAGTGCTATCTCTCATTTAGCTTTTGTGTTCTTTCAGTATATATACTCCGTATGACTTTGTGACATCATCCTATTATTTTTCTTTTGCTACCTACTCTAAGGTATCTTATGTTTCACTTGAACGATTCAACGAACGTAATCATCATAAGTTATAATCATTCCCTAACATTTAAAAAAGAATACTCATCCCGTAGGATAGCTCAATTGTTCGAGTGGTGGGAAATTTAGATCAATGGACCAAGATTTGAATTCGCGCAGCGACCGGGTAGAGATTACAGAACCTGAAATAAGGTTGAACCTCTGGTGCGGCGCACGGTTGTATGGGCTACTGCCACTTTGCTGACTGAGTAACCGTGACTTACTCCTTCATCATCCTATCAGGTCGGGTGTGGGGCCCCTGGGATGAGAGATTCCACTTATGGCACTCATAAGTCAAACATACACAAAGTTCAAAAATGCCCTAACATTATTCTGAAAATAGAACTCAATTGGTATTCTTAGATGAATAAAATAACATAAACTTATCAAAATATAAGTGTACCATTCCTATTTTGGAACGAAAATGATGGTACACATATATGAGGATATGTGTTATGTTTAATTTCCACTTTATTTAGTAAATTTTCTCATAAAACTGTCTAAATAGTATTAAAGCATATATAAGACACTTACCTCATGAGATAGGATCTTCATATTCTTCCAAAATAGATTCATTCACGCACTCCTAGAAAAAAAAAACTTATTGTGTGTATTCTTCTATTCTAATTAAATAATCCTTTTTTTAGGTTTATATATAAATTATTTTTAGTATTGAAATAAAACCAAACTATTCCTTTTTTATATACTCCATAAAACATAACAAGTACTCCATTAATTATTGGCAATTTTGTCCCCAAAAAAGTTTAGTCAATTTGGTCCATGTCAAGGTAGCCAATCAGAATAGTTGGTATAGCAATTGAGTAGTTAATACTAAATTATGATAATTATAATTTTTTGGAAAAAATTGTGATTATTATGTTATGAAACTACTTATAATCATATCATTGGGTCTCTAACATATGCTTCCTCTGTTTTCTTGTTATTAGATTATGAAGAGAGGCTAAGCTATACTAACCAGAACGTGAAGAGGGATTGCTTAATATTGACTGAGAAAATGCGGTCGGCATCGGAAAACCACGGCGGCTCTCCGATGCGATTCGTGTCATTCCGGCGGCCAATTCTGACGCTCAGAGGCGGCGACCAAGTCCACGCCTTGCTATTGGACCACAACAAGTCAACGGCCCAAGTTGACTCCCAGCTTGAAGCCTTCCAATCCAAAGTCGCCGCCCGCTTCCACGACCTCTCCGTCGGCAACGGCAAAGATCAGTTCCTCTCTGTTTCCTGGATCCGAAAGCTTCTCGATGCCTTCTCCAAATGCCAAGATGACTTCAGGCTTATCATCATGTCCAAAAAGGACGCCGCCGCCGCATTCGGTGGTTCCAAACAGCCCACGGAGAGGATCTTGACCGAGTACTTTGACCGGACGATCAAGGCTCTCGACATCTGCAACGCCGCCCGGGACGGGATCGAGAAAATCAAGCGGTGGCAGAGGCATTTGGAGATTGTGGTTTGTGCATTGGGGGCCCCACAGACTGGTGGTAAAACGACGGTCGGTGGAGGAAACCTCCGCCGTGCAAGAAAGGCTCTGATCGATCTCGCACTCTGCATGCTGGAAGATAATAACAGTAATAAAGACAGCGCCGCCGCTGGCGGCGGAGGTGGTGGAGGGGGAGGGGGAGTGTTTTCGAGCCACCGGAGCAGGTCGTTTATACGACGCCCGAAAGACCAAACTCGGCCCGCTCGGGGCCGCCACGCGAGGTCACTGTCATGGAGTGTTTCGACTTCCTGGTCGGCGTCGAAACAGCTCCAGCTTCTCGCGAGCAGCGTGGGCCCGCCCAAGCCGACCGACGTTCTCGCGTCGAACGGCTTGGCCTCTTTGGTCCACACGATGAGCTTCGTTCTGGTGTTTGTTTTGTGGGTTCTGGTCGCCGGGATCCCTTGTCAGGACCGCGGGGTCCACACGAACATCGTCATCCCCCGGCAATGCTGGGGCCGACCTTTCCATATTCTCCAAGCTAGGATAATGGAGGAGTCTAAGAAGAGGGAGAGGAGAAACTCCAATGGACTGGTGAAGGAGATTTGTGTCATGGAAGAAGGTGTGAGTCACTTGACTGAGCTGGTTGACTCCTCTTCTCAGCTCTCTGAGCAGCAAATGGAAGAGCTCATGGGGAGAGTTCAAGAGCTGATGTCAGTCTGTGAAGTCTTCAAAGCTGAGCTTGACCCTCTTGAGCGCAATTTGCGGGAAGTGTTCAGGAAAATCGTCAGTTGTCGCGTCGACGGTCTTGAATCCCTCGTAAACAAGGGAAGTTAGATGAGACTGTGAGACGTTGCAACGAATTGAACGTGCGTAGCTGCGTGCATTCTCGAGAATCGGTCCCACTTCAAACACGAATATAAAAATGCAAACTAAACATATGATTCGTATTTACACGAACGCAACGTACAACCTTATATGTTGGTTTGTATTTTTATATTTGATTCGGTGAATGGACGAATCACTTAACGTAACGGGAAGTGCTGTTTGATGGGGATGAAGTGTGAATATTTTTCACAGACTTCTATTCCATATCATTTTAGGGAGTAAATATTCAATTTCTACTTGAATTGTATGATTTTATAAAAATATGCGTAATGTCACATGTAACATTTCAAGAAAAAGCAAACAAAAAGGAGTGGTTATCTTTCACTTTCTCAGTAGCATGTATGTGTTGGTAGTACTATTAATTTTTTATGATCAGATTAAAGCAATTTGATAATGCAAAAAGCTCTCAATATGTTTGTTTATGATGTTGTGGTGGTTATACAGAATCTGCAGTTGCCTTTATTTGACCATTTATCATGAAGCTATTTCAGTGTAGGAGTTAATAGAGCTTAGTTGCATCATATCTTATTAGCATGGTCCTCCAGTTTCAGTGAGCAAAATAAATTGTTCTTATCTGGACATTCTGCATTTTATAATTTATTACATTTAAGATGAAAGGATATACATTCTGAAATATAGGAATGAATGAATGAATGATCAATGACAGAATAACTTGGTGTAGTTATTGCTCCCATGCTCCAATCATTTTTCATGAAGATCAGATGCTCAAGAAAATTAAAATCAAATCTTTATAATAATGCATGGGTTTTTTTCCTTTTTCTTTTACTTCAACAGCACACACATGCATGCATGCATTCATTATTCTGCATAAGAATTTTCACTGTTAGATATTATGCATGTGGAAGCTTCATGTGAATCCTCATTGCATTTATGAGGCACAACAAAGATGCATGCATAAATGTGATGTGCATGAATGTGATGGTTTATCTGATATGGTTGGCCCTCTGTTGTTTTCTTGTTCTGCAAAAAGCCATGTGAGAACAGGCTGGAGAGACTAGATTCATGTGAAGTTTATAAACACATCCTTGATTATCCAAGATGGAAAGTTGCCCACCACAAACACTTCCTTACTTGTAGGACTTGATTTAGATCAATGATTATTTGCTGTGTGTTAATTCTTAGAGTTAAGAGAAGAGGGGCCTGGCTGGCTGCTGTATGACCTTCATCCTACTAAATAAATGCTAATATGACATTATCCTTTCACAGGTCTTTCCACTTGTATATGAAATTGTAGTGTGGTGTGATTTTTTAGTGGAGCCAAAACTTGATTTCAATGACTGAATTGATGGGAATGTGACCCTTGAGACTCTGGGTTTAATTGCATCTAATGCTCTTTCTTTCATTTTCGATTAAAAACTAAGTTCTTATTTCAATATTACTCGCATAGAGTATAACTTATGGGGGGAAAAGTGATTAAAATTACCACATTTCATAATTATTGAATTGTACAAATGAATGCAATAATAGTTATTCGAAGTTACTAATATAATCCATTTGTATTAGATGTCAATTTTGGTTTCTTAATTATCAAATTCAAGTAAAACAAAGTAAAACAAATAAGAGGATGTACCGCTATTCTGAATAGTAAAGGGCGAATGTAGGAATCATCGATGTCACCTCATCACACATCAGAACTAGAATCTACCTTGACTATATATAATTAGTATTATAACTCTGAGTTTGTCGATTTTGGATTTTGTGGTATTTAATTCGGACTTCATCCGTTCACCGTATTTTTTGGAATATTCTTACCCAAGAAGAGTGGGGTTCAATTGTGTTGGTTTTTATCCCTTGAGAATTGACTAAACAAACTTGATTAGTTTTCTTGTCAAGTCCCACCATTCTAATTTTTAATTTTTAATTGGAGTACTTTAAATTCGTCTATGACCTTTAGCAAACTCTCTCGGGTCGCATTTTAGTTATGAAGTAAATGATGTCTAACTTTGGTTAGATTATATATTTATCCTTCTTGTTTCGTAATTAAGTTTTCATTATCCTTTTTGAGATGTTCCAAAATCAAATCCCTGCATCTCTTTTTTCATAATATTTGGGCAGTAAAATACTACGTAATGTTTTATCAATATATAGAGTACATTATTAATTACGAAGTATTAGTTACCTATTTTATACTTTTGAGCAATGCCAGATACGACACCGTTTTATACAATCGTACTTTTGAGCAATGCCAGATACGACACCGTTTTATACAATCGAAGTATGAAAGTCAATAAGGAAAGTTATTTTGCTTAAAACCCCAAAAAATGACAAATTATACCGTGGGATCGGTATATCATGCACATAGTATATCGATCCCAGATACGACACCGTTTTTATAACAAACGGATGATACGGCACAAGTAGCTGGATGATCGCAAGCTTTCTCCAATTGCCCACTCACACATCACCACTCACGACCTCACGTTTCTTAGCTTTTTTCTTTTACGTTTTTTTACTTTTTATTTTTTCATCAACAAACATCAAAAGTTATCATGTTTCCATCACTTTTTTTTTTTAATTTAAGAACACCGGGAAGCATTAAAATTATTATTTGTTTAAATTTTCATCCTTTCAAATAAACTAATCACTTTTTCTTTCTCTCTTACTCCTTATTGCTAAACTTTTCCTTTTTTATTCAACTAAAATTACAACCAATAATTAATTCTTTTTTCTTCAAAATAATTATTTTCTATATTTATACACTTATTTCAAATATATTTTTCCATATTCACACTTTTTCCTACAATATATTTATTATCTCTCTTATACTAGTATATTTTTAGTGTTTTTAGACATTAATTTGGTTGTTTTTATTTACATTTGATAAAATATGAGATTACATTTTCATGTGCGATTTATGTTTCTACATATGTGAGTAATGTTTATTGACAATTTTTGGAGTTACATTTGATAGTCTATGAAGTTACATCTTTTTGTACGTGAGTTAATTACACTTTTTATGAGTGAGTTACATCTTCATACGCGCTCACTACATTTAGTCTTGCCTCAGCAAGTTATGTTTTACACGCACTTAAGTTAGACTTTCTATCAATGCGAGTTACATTTTCCTTAATACGAGTTAATTACATTACAAAATAAACATATGCTATTGAAACAAAAATATCATTTCTTGGCATAAAAATGATTTTTAGCAAAAAAAAAGAATCTCAAAAAAATTGGATTTCTTTTTATGTTTAAGAAACACAATTTTTTTAGGCTTAAGTATTAAAAACAAAACATATTCACTATTAGGTAATGTAATTGAGCAATTAGGATGTTTTTACTTGGACTGTAATTTGCTGGTCTGGTCTGGTCTGGCCTGAACTGGACTGGTCTGGTAAGGTCTGGTTTCTTTGTATTTTTATAACTATCCAAGTCTGGTCTGGTCTGAACTGGCCTGGTCGGATCTGGACTGGTCTGATTTGTGACAAATTACAGTCCAAGTAAAAACATCCTTAGGCTCCTTGTTTTCATTGTTTCCATTTGATAGTATATGAAGTTACATTTTCTTATGAGAGAGTTACACAATTTTATGCGTGAGTTACATCTTCTTGTGCGCGAGTTACATTTAAAGTTGTCTCAATAAATTACATTTTGCATACACCTAAGTTAGATTTTTCCATCAACACGAATTACATTTTTCATAACACTGGTTACATACCAAAATAAACCTCAAGCAGTTGAAACGAAAAAAAACATTTTTTTTCAAAAAAAAAAGACTTTTTTTGTAAAAAAAAATGATTTTTTTATAAAAAAGGATTAAAAATTATTTTTATGGCTTTAATATTTAAAAAAAAAACATATTCACTACTTTTGTAAAGCAACTGAACAATTAGACTACTTTTTTCATTGTTTACATTTAAATCAATATTTTATCTCTTCTTCTCTGAATTAGAAAAGTTACATCTCAACTTGTCTGCAGTTACATTGCATATCAACATGAGTTACATTTCATTATACGCAAGTTACATCACCCTGCTGCTGGGAGCAAAAAAAAGTTACTGTTCACGTATGAATTAGCTGTGGGAGCACCATGCTTAGTGCTCACCATGGGCTGCTCCCACGGTATACCAACTGCCAAAAAATCAAACTATAAATTTAATTGTGTAATGGAAGTAGTGCGTAGGAAACCCACAAGAGTCTAAGACTCAAAGTTCTAAGTTTCTAACTATTACTTAAAGCAATTTCTTTAATTACTTTACAAAATTCAGAATCACATCATAAAATAGCTCAGAAATAATGATTTTTTTATTCACGGCGAACCACATCATAAAAGCAACTCTTTAAAACATGTTTAGTCTATGTTCTCTTGCATACACCAGAATCAATGTCAAACAGTCAAATACCAATTAATGATCCAATTCTCCATGCCTCAACATAACTTCTGATTCTGGTTTTCATCTTTGTTTTTTGTCAAAACATAAAGACACTCAGTCAGTAGTGCGAGGTTTAAAAAGAATGTAAATAAGAAGAAGAAAACTCCAGCAGATCATATTTATGAGCTGATGAATAATTTACGGAGTAGCTAGCAAATTTGGCAATGATATACACCCATATCCATCTTTCATGTGTGGTCTATAATGACATAATAAAAGGTAGGTTTAGAAGTTGGTTAAACAGTCATGTCATATAGAAGAGGGAGGGAGGGCTCCCCTGCATGAATGCGTTTGGCATATATGCAGCCTCATCAATCCACCATGCACCTGTCTCCATCCTGACAAAATCTCATAACTTTCGACCAATAATTCCTTTTTTATGTATACATATGTATATATGTACCTTTCAACTGATTCAGAAGATACAGCTGCGCGTGTGTACTTGTAGTTTTTTATTGAATTGAATGATGAAACCCCAAAATAAGACAATTAAATAATTTCAAGTCACCTTCACAACACATCAAAAAATGAAATTATCATGTAGCTAGACAAGCAAGATCACCCACCACTAACCATTCTTCCCTGCCACCCCAATGGTGCGGAAGCTATTCTGCAGATAACCAATAATTACACTCTACTAATATTTGCTTCACGCTGTTAATTACATTACTTATGATATCTTCATATATCCCCCGGGGTAGAGAGTTCGTAAACATTCCGTTTGAGAGATCTAACCGTCTGTTCACGCTGGTTTTCGATTAGAATTGCAAATTTGGCATAAGATCGCAGTAAATAACCAGTCCCTCGGTGTTACTGTTTTTATATATGATGAGTTCACTACCAGCACATGGAACGGACTCTCCGAAGAAGTTTGGGTGGTCTCCGCTTCTCCACAACTGGAATTAGGTTCTCCATCAGCTGTGTTTAAACAATATCGTTAGAAAAAAGAGCTGGCAAACAAAACCAAACACGTGGTAGTCAATAGAAAACAGATAATTGGATCACATTCAAGAAGACTGAGATGAGCAAGTAGGGGCCTGTTTTGAAGCAGCTAAAATGGTTGAGTCTGCTGAGTTTTTTTCTAAAGCATAAGTTGCATAACTGTTAAGTAACATCCCTTCCAATCAAATAAGGTAGTTGATAAGCACAAATAACCCAGAGGACGCCCAAACAAATAATTTTGGGTTTTGTACTCATCCATAAGGCTTTATCATAGCAATCCAAGTTATTTTGAATTAGAGTTAGATGGAGATATCCAAGTAATCCAACTAAATTATCTTTCAATCTAACAGGCTACATAGCACATGGGCTCTATCACAGAATCTAACTACCTGCTTCTTGATTGATGAGTTAGTTGTTGGATGGTAATATCAAGCTATATGTTCTTTCTATTCAACAGGGCGAAACAGGCTATATGCCTCATGGGCTATATCACAGAACCTAACACCCATTAACATTAGCTTTGAACAATGACTTTCCCACTCCAGTAAAAGAGGATATTGTTCACTTTTGTAATTATTTTCTTGTTTCAGCTATACCAAATTGGAAGACAATGCCTCATATACACACACACAAGTCTGATATATGCCACTTTTGAAAAGATTCCAACAAGTACGTTTTCCCAAACCAACCTTCTGTTAGTTTAAGACGGTTTTGAGAGGAAAGAAATAAGAAAATAAGCAAGTGGGGAAGAAAATTAAACTGTGTTGTTTGAACGGAGCGAAAATATGAAGGGAAAATATTTTGAACAATTACCATTTTAACCTTACTACTTTTCTCATGCAATACAATGTCTACATATAGTAAGAATAAATGTCTTTACAAATGAAAAAAAAAACTTTCTCTTTAATTTGTTTCCTTAGACCGCTTGAGAAATGAGATAATCAAACAAAAGGTGGAAGTAGCACCTATAGAAAATGAGATGCAAGAGTCTCGATTGCGGTGGTTTGATAATGTGCGCAGAAGACCAAGTGATGCACCTGTTACACGACTTGAGAGGTGGGGAGAAGAGGTGAGGATGAGGAGAGGAAGACCCAAGCAGACTTGCACAAGAGGAATTAGAATTGATATGCGTCTTCTTGGGTTGGATGAGAGTATGCTTTTGGAGAGAGCAAAGTGGATTGTGCACATTCGTGTGGGTGATTGATCTCTTTTCTCTCTCTTTTTCTTTTATCATTTATCTGTTTTATCTTTCTATGTTCTTATGTTATTTTTATCTTTTATCTTTCTTATGCTCTTTTATCTTTTTATCTCCTATTTTTCTTATGTTTTTATATTATATTATTGTTATCTTGTATTTATCTTTATCATATCTTACTTTGTTTTTTTATTCTTCTTATCTTTCTTCTCTGTTTGGCTCTGATATCATGGATGTTGTTGTTTGTTTGTTTTATTTGTTTCCTAATTGTTTCACTCCCAACATACTAAACTACTCATTTTCAATCCCCAAATACTTCTAACTTCTTCTTTCTTACTTCATTTTGTCTTATTTCTCTTTTTATCTGAACAAAGCAGAGAGTTGTGGGGCTCCAATAGTGTCATTTACTACATGCAAGAGAGATTCCTTGTAACACCCTGTAAACCATCCATCTAGGCTCATCCACCACATCAGGTACAAAATCGCTGGAGCATTTGATGAAGTTAGTTGTAAAAGGTGATAAAAAGAACACTTCAGTTTACGGGATGGAAAGTTTTGATCAATCAAATGGTAATAATCGCCAATCCATGCTAACATAGAATGCCAACAGATAAAACATTGATTCACATATCTAAAATTTAATCCAAACTTTCCACTCACAACACTGGTAGGATTTGACAGCCTCTGTTTAAAAATATAAAACAAATATCAGTGGTAGTCAATCTTTGGAAGTAGGACCATCTATTTAAAGGAAACTCAAAAGGGTTAATAGCTTAAAGTGGAACATGAAAATTGAAAACTACAATTTGGTTCGTGGTTTTACCTTAGTGATACGTAAAATTCTTCTCCACAACAACTAGCCCTAGTTCAAATCTCATGCCCTCCATTTGTAACTTGACAATATGCTCACTCGATATTGAGTTGGCAGAGTGATGTTAAACTATGTTACTAAAAGGTTTAGCTCTGATGCGGTGTTAAAAGTTCTTACTTTTAAGTTATGATGTGTTGTTTATAAACTCATATCCATGTCAGATGGAAATGAATTCCTCAAACAAATAATACTCAACATTTTCTTTTTTTTTAAACAACATATTTTATTGTGTGTTTGTTATACAATTTGTATTTCAAAAAGTTAATATATGAGCCTAACCTGGCATTAATATTTTCCTTAAGGAATCAATGGATAATAAATAGATGTTAATAATAAATACAAGACTTGTTCATTTTCAAAGTTTGTATGAAGGGAACTTTGAAAATTAAGAAGAGAACTAGTGAAAAGGGAAAGAGAGAAGAAAGAATATGAGAAGACAGAAAGAGGAAAAATAAGTTTGTATCAGGTGTATTACTTTATGTGAGAAATAAGAGAGAAAAAGCAGGGATTAGTGTATTTGTTATTTGTTAAAAGAAAAAAACTTGAGTATTTTTTTAAATGGCTAGTACTTCGGGTACAAAAGGAAATACTAGGGGACAAAACTAAAGTACCATGGATTCCAAAAAAAACTTCCTTTTCACCATCCCGTCAAACCGAACAATCAAAGTTTGTTCACTCCTACATCTTTCTCGCTTCCCTACTTCTATATTCTATATTTTCCTCCGAACAAACAAAACTCTAGAGTCTTGACCAGATACGCAAAGAGCCAAAGACTAATCAGTCTAATTTATGCCTCTAACTCATGCCTCAGCTAAAGATACCTGTAATATAAACAGTGTACATTTCTTCAACATAAACACAATGACCACCCAACCTTCCGGGTTTATTTCACTAGTTCTGAAACTTTTAACTCTGGAAAAAACATCTGATATCACTTGTTCGAATCCCAAAGAGGGCCACCAAATATTAGCAGGGGCGGAGCCAGAGCACTGGGCCGCACTGGGCCGGTACAAAGAATATTTTTGAAAAAAATTTACACCGGAATTTTTTACACTAAAAATTAAGGTATTTTTAAATTTTGTGGTGGGCCAGGGCCTAGGTTGGCCCACCCCTAGCTCCGCCCATGAATATTAGCCAGGTCTTTAACTTCAGCACCCCCAGGATTATTCGTGCCAAGGTCCCAAACACCCGCATTGTCAAATACTACTATAACAAAGACCACCCCACGGACCATGTTGACATAAATAAAATAGTTGGACAAAACAACTATAGTTTCTTATAAAAGTGAATGACTAAAACAGACGACAGAGCATGAATACAAGTTGCATAATATAACTAATCAAAAAAAAGTAACTCTGCGCTAGTATGACAGTTTGAGTGTTTGACATAGGAATTAATGATTTAAATAGGAATGCTCAGAATATAAGAGTATTAAAGGGAATGCGTGGGCTCATAGAACCTATGTTGCACTGATTCCCTACACAGATGCCAATAAGTCGATGCAATATTTTAGTCCAACCATACATCCATTTAAAGAACCCAAGTATCCAATATGGCATCAAATACGTAGATACCATTGTAGTGGATACAATACCTGCTTAAGTCTCTTACTCTTCTGCTCTGCCTGTATTTGGAAATAAAAAAGTCCTCCATTAGCAGCTGTTTGAACATGAGTATTAAAAACAAAATTGACTACTGCATGATACGACACAGAATTTTACTGTCATGAAGAGCATATTTCACATTAAAATATTATGACAGACTATAAAGATGACAAATTGGAGTCGGGGCTTCTAGCTCATCAAAGGCTCAGGCCTTTTCCCCGGAGTCTTATCCTCTCTTCCAAAGAAAGCCCTTTGAAGAGATTTCACTACTTCACTAGATCATCTCTTACTCCTCAAAGGAGATCATCATTAATATTAATTACTTCTAAAATGGATAAAATGAACTAATTACTTCTAAATGTATTTCCCTACCGCTAGGAGCAAAGCTCAAGGATTGGGCCCCATGGTTATGGACCCGAATACGTTTATATGGAACAGTTTCTTTTCCAAGACCCTTTGCCAGAAGCATAGCACTACTCAAAGTTTTTGACTTTTTGTAGTAACAAGTAAACCTTTCTGCGTATGGAATCCGCGGGCAACCAATGAGGGATGGGCATTAAAATTCATTTGGGCACACAGGATGGGCTCATGCAGCTGCATCCGGATTTGAACGTAAGAGATCAAGATTGTGGAAAACAGGAGTGTTATTACACTGCAAATCAATGGAACAGACTAGGAAACGCCACTTAAAAACACCTTAAGAATGGAGAGAACATAATTTTATCTGTAGGGAAATAGGCAGGAAGAAATGCCAGAATCTCCCTTCAATATAATAGATGGGAAATAAACAATAGCACTCCTTGAACCTTTAGTAATTGACCAGACAGTCCAGGCAAATTGCAACTGGTTGCGGACTAAAGAATGAAAATTAGAGTAATGTAGGCAAACATGGGAAAGTATCAAGTTCATGGATTGCCTAACTGAAGTAAAATTGATGAGTATAGAGTATAAGTATATACACGCACACTGAATCTGCTCTTTTCTGCTTGTCTATTAAATGCATAATAGAAAGGGTCCTAAGACTAATATTTGTATTGAAAAAAACGGGAAATGTACCTCTTCTTTCAAAAGCCTTGCATTGTCCTCCTCCAATTGTGCAACCAGAGACTCCAATTCCACAGTGTAAGCCTGCAGTTTTAATTGAAACAGAAAAATGCTGTTGTGAAATCCTTTCAGAATTACAGAATTTTAAGACATAATCTTTTAGAATTGGTTGAAGACAAAGAGGAACTGAAAAGATTTGTTTTTTAACCTGTTTTCGTTCTCTGGACCTAGCTGCGGACTCTCTATTCTTGATCATTCTCCTCTGCTTCTGTTGAGTGGCCTTATCAAGGGGAATCTCCTCCACCGTAGCCCTCCTCTTCCCTCTGGCGCCACCATTGACACCCATAGCCATTACGCCGTTTCCAAACCCCAAATGCGGTGGCTCCACACCGAATCCACCGGGCCCATTCTGCATGACCACAGGAAACTGACAATTCGACGAATTCACCATTGAGTCCACCGTAAACCCACCGGTAACATCTGCAGAAGGGGGAGGGGGAGGAAGAATCGCCGGAACCCTAACATCTTCCTCCCTCACAGCCCCTGCCTTTGTTAAAAAATCCTCCAATGTCATCTCCGGGTCCCTACTCCCTCCTCCTCCGCCTCCACTCACAATCTCCCTCCAAACCTCATCCGCCGTCTTGCTACCACTGGCACCACCGGAGGAGGTGCAGCTGTCAGCAAGTGTGTTGGAGTCTGCATAAATACTCTTGATGATTTCATCCATGTTCATTGACCCCAAACCTAGACCTTGATCGGAGTGAAGCTGATCAGCAAATGAATGTAAAGTGGGAGAAGAAGATGGGTGTGTCCGATCCGGATTGGACGGCGCTGCTGACGTGGACGCCATCACCCTCGACGACGCCTTAACCGCCGGTTTCTTCGGAACACTTCGGAAATTGCCTTCAAATCTACACTCCAAATTTCAAGCTTACATATGTCTTCAGCTTGACACGAAGATAATTTCAAGCAAAGAATCGATAGATACACACAGACACACAGTAGGATATAAAGAAAGTACAGCGAGAAACTTTTTCTGTGTATGCATAAATGGTACCTGTAATGTTGATACTTAACTCTTAAATGAATCAAAATGTTATCATAACTATACACAAATGTTTCGAATTAAGATTCTAATCAAATTTTCGACCAAAATATTATACGTGGCAGTCAGGATTCTATGCGTAAAGTCTATTTCAACTTATTTTTGTCCATATGATCACTATAGGGTGACTCTACGCATGAAATTTTGATCGTTATGAATGACTTTTTTGTTAAAAATTTGAATAAAATCTCAATTTGAAACATTTATGTATAGTTAAGGTACAGTTTTGATTCATTTAAGAAATAAGGTACCAAAATGCAACATTACTAATAGTTGAGGTACCATTTATGCATTTGATCCGAGGGGGCCTCATGTTGACCCTATATATTTTTAACTAGACTATATTTAAATTTTGCACCGGTGGGCGTAGCTCAACTGGAAGCGAGAGAGTGTCACAAAGGTTAGGTCCCGGGTTCGAATCTCGGCAACTGCAATGAGAGATTACTCTGCTAAAAATGCATAGGGCCTCTGCAAGTACCGGGGACGGAGTCTCACTCTCTATCTGTCAGATTGTGATTATAGTCCAATTTACATCCTCTCATCGTGTCGTCCGGTCGGTGTTGGGGGCCCTAGGGATGGGATGTCATTCTTTCTTTTATTTAAATTTTGGGAAAACTATCCACGGTCCAAAACGTTAATTAACTTCTTCTGCTTTTAAAAAAAATGAATTCAATTCTTCAATTTTCAAAAATTGTTCAATTGAATCAATAAAAAAGTTACTCAACATGCCTGCAAACAAATGAGAAACATTTGACGCTTCGCGGGAAATGGACACCCCCTTGATTCCTCCTAACGTAGGATGGCGGTCAGGCCTTCTACCACTAATATGAATAAATAAGAAAAAGGGATTGATCATCTTAATCAAGGGCGGATTCAGGAATGAGGGGTGGGGTGGGCTAAGCAATAAAAATTTTCGTTACTGCATACAAAAGGTTTAGCTTATGACTGATAGTTATTGAACTGAGTTTTTTTTTAACTACTCGAGTTCGATCGTGATTTCGAATTTAATTTAATGACCAAATCTTAACGAGCTTCAATCTCAAACACGGGCTAAATTTTAGTTTAAATAGTTTGTTTTTACAAAAAAAAGCGGCCGCTATTTTTTTGAGTTTGAATAGTTATTCAAGCTGAATTCGAGCATAGTCATGTTTAGTTCGATCTGGACTCGAGCATATTGATAACTTATAAATTATAGAAATAAACAATATACTACCTCCGCCCACTTTTATTAAGACTAATTTGACTTTTTCAAGTCAAAGAAGTTAAACTCTGAATGACTATATATTTATACAATAAAATTGATAATATTAAAATGAAATGGAAATGTTCGTTGTTAAAGAGTTTATCATATAAGTATAAATTTAGTGAGTTTCACAGTAATACATGAGTTAAAATGATGGATTAAAGTTTACCATCTTTGACTAAAGAGTCAAAGATGGCTAAATAGAACGAGACGGAGGTAGTATATCTAAAATTTTAACGTTTTTAGTGTGATTTATAATTTTATTATTGATTATTAAAGATTTTAGTATTTATATATATGAATTAAAATAATTCTATAAAAGTATAAAACTAATAAGTAAAAATAGTCGATGTACATAAAACTAATAAGTATTCCCAATTTTAAAATTGAATTGAGATTTTGAATCCATTCTTACATGCCTAAACAATACGTACATTGTTCTCTATTCTTTAATTGCATAATAAATAAATCATTTTCTAATCTTTAATTCTATCTTTAATCATTATAAATTTATAATAAATAAAAACTATTTTACTATCTACTGAAAATATTCAATTAATAATCAAATAGAATTACAAAGTTGGTAGGCTTGGACTTGGCTAGACATTAATTTTGAGGTGGGCTGGAAATTAAACCTATACCTATAATAATAAAAATTAATTGGGCTGGGTTGGGCTGGAGCCCACCCCTGCCCCAACATGGATCCGCCCATGATCTTAATGAAGATCACGCTAAGGAATAATCAGTCTAATTTTACCAATGGTGAAAGGGATTGAGGATGTTTTCTTTCTGGCTTAAATTTGTTGGTCTGATCTGGTCTGGTAAATGTTCGGTCTCTGACTCTCTGTGTATTTTATAACTAAAGAAGTCTGATTTTGTCTAATCTGGTCTGGTCTGGAACTGAAAATAGTCCAAAAGAAAACATCATGAATATGTAATAGAACTGCGCTTTTAACTACACAGTTATCTTCAAGAATTCATTTGAATGTCTTTCCGGTTGAATTTTTGGCTAAAATTTGATATGAGTAAACTAGACTTAATGAATATGATGCTAAAAAAATGTCCAAAAATTCCACCGGGAACCACCCCAAATGGCGACGGCCGGACAGAGCCTCCTATATAATGACTTATATGACCTTTTTAATGCAAATTCGAGTACCAATCTGACCCTTACCTCGACAATTTTTTTTTCTTGTTTTTTCACAACTCGAGTAATCGTAGGAGGAATAAATTGAAGGCTTTAGGTCATACGGTGGTATGTGGGTTAAAGAGAGAGCGACACCGAGTGATACACAGATTAGAAGCATGTTTTTAAGATTAAGAAGTCTGTCTCTAAAACAATCATGTTTTTCTAGCAGTCTAGCAGATCCAAATACTCAGCTTGAACTTTTCTAAATTGTACACGCCTAAAGTCATCACTCCAGCCTCAAAGATATTGCAATATTTTCTTACAAAAATACCGTGTTACCCCGTTTTCCCCTATACTCCACAAACTGGATTTTTCATGTTACCCCACATCCCTCTCTAGCTCCCATACTTGTTCCACCACATCCCGGCATGCCTCTTCTAGAAGTCAACTTTTCTCACATTTATATTTCTTATGCCTATTTACTATTTCCTCTTGCTCGACTTCTCTTTAACCCAACTCGGTGAACCTCTCCACCTCTTCCATGTGAATTGATATCTTCCGAAGGGAAAATTTGTAAGCCCTCAAGTTCATACTACCTCCGGAAAGCTCATCAATAACCAAAGACGATGATGCACGCATCCCTTCTTTTTATTTGGGCAAAGCAAGTCATTGAAATCGCCTATCACCACTCGCCATGGCGATATGGAACGGATGATCATGAATCAGTTCCCAAAATTTTCTCCTTCTAACTCGTTCCGGACAACCATAAAATCTGGATGATGTATGTTGTGATATTGGGTCCAGGCCCAATACCCCCGGCCCAAATCCGGGAGAAAGAAGCAGGCCCAAAGCAGTCCAGAGTCCAAATTCGGGGTAAATCTTCTACTTGGAGCATTTTAGGAAAAAGTTACACCAAAACACCCCTGGCAGGAACCCGATCGGCATTCGGGATACTTTTTATGATAGGATAACATCTATGGCGGGGCCCCACACCCCGAACACTATTCCCGAACGGGTAATTGTCAAGTGGAAGCCGCATTTAATGCTGGAGCATGGCGGCTGCAAGTGGGGGCATGGGTGCTTACATGGCAGGGGTCACAGCCTACCAGATTCGGTCATGTGTCCACCTTACTCATCCCCATTTTAGTATAAATACCTGTGTTTAGAACATTGTAAGGGTTGGCATTTCAATACTCAGAGTTTAGCAAGTAGAATTATCTCTCTTATTCTTGTATTCTTGTACTTACCTACCGCTCGGGTAGTTTCAGTGTAATCACAGAATTACTAAATACAAGTGGGCTTCTGAGTTGGTCAATCTTTCACTATTTTATACGAAGTATTATATACACCTTCTGAATCAACCTAACATCCCTACAATATCCAAAGCTTGTGTTGGACTTTCGGATCTTCGGGGATAAACCTCAACAATGTACACTGCCTGAAGTCGAAAATGATTCACCCGACCCTAGTTAAACATCAATTAGGACACCTAAACTGCCCTACCCATACAAGAATCAATGAGATCTAACTAGAACCGGACTCAGACCGAGTTCATCCGTGCCCCTTTGAAGAATATCTTGGAGTCCACTGTGGCTCATAACTTCTCCACGTTCTGCCTCCAAATGATTATTTAATTCAGTAAACAATTTATGCCGTATAGGGGTGGGTCGGAGAAACCGAAAACCGAATTGAAAAAACATGAACCGCAACCAAAACAACCGAACCCCAAGAATCGAAATCGAACTCAAAAAATTGACCCGAACCGTAGTTGTTTGGTTTCGGTTTTGGTTTTCACATCTCAAAACCGAACCGAATAAACCGAACTTTTAAAAACTAGTAATTTTATTTATTGATCATAAGTATACTATTTTGTTTGGTTCTTAATTCTTAATACTAGAAAATTAATGTTTGATTCTAGATTTATTATGATTTGCAAGATATTGTTATAATACTACTCCGTATTATGTTAATATTTTAAATCATAATTTACATTTTGCTTGTTGTTGCATGACAATGATATTTTGTTGATATATTATATTATGTATATATGTCTGTTATCATATACCCTAGTTTGCTATATTGAACAAATATGTATTAATATAAACAATACTTTGAACAACATGGCAGAAATCGTGAAACATTGGAGCATAAATATCTTTGACTAAATAGAAAGTAGAATAACTTATTTACTAATAAAATTCTAACTTGCGAATACACGGTATATAATACACAAATAAACTCACGCATTAAATTAATTTAGAAAATGTTTAAATTGGTATACACGTACTCTCTAATTCATTGCTTGAAAGTGCATTTGTTTCTTCTCTTTTTTTTATTATGTATGTTTTTGTATTGTATAACTATTAATACTAGTTGGGAAATTTGTAAAATTAATCCCGTAACTTTTGACCATACCCGATATTAGTCCTCTAACTTCATTTACTTGCATAATACGTCCTTAATTAACATATTTGTCCAATTTCAGGACATTTACACAGGAGAGTAATACTTCTATCGGAAATTAACACATCAGCACCACTTGTTCAGTTTTTGTTCCAAACAGCGAGCTGACTTGG